CATGATAGGCTATATCTAAGGAWCGGTTCTAAATTAAAAACCCAAATTTCGTAGGTAGTAAGCTGACCCTCCCCGTRTGACTTTAAGGTACCCATTTTAAAGTGCATGCAGCCTAGAAACATTGATATAGAAAGTCGAAGAAAAAACAGATTTTTAAATGGCAMCTACAAACTTTTTTGATCCTGTTTGAAAATTTTGCTATGATTAAACCATGAAAACTCTGCTRAACTMAACAGGGCCAAAAAGTTAGTAGGTGCCATTTAAAAMCTTATTTTTTGACCTTTTTTGCATGGCAATCTTTGTGGGCTGCATGCACCCATATGTTACAAAATGGGTACTTTAAAGTCACATGGAGAGTTAGCTTAGCTGTAGGGAAGACGATTATCCTTGGCTAAAGATCAAAACCGTGCAAAATGGATCATAATGTTCGGATAATTTGACTCAAACTGGTTTAACGWGTAGATTCCTGAACTGGCTGAATTCCTTGCTTCTTTGTGATGAGAATGGTCTAGAATTACAGGCATTTGGAGAAATTTGAGTTTTTTAAACTCAACAAACACAAAAAATGTGCACAAAACATCCCCGAAAAAAATAAAAATTTCTTATTAGTGTATTCTTGGCAGGCTCAATGGATAAAACAAAATTTGATGTTTCTAATGCAACTGCAAGTTGAAAAACTTCTAGTTCAAAGTCGAAAAAACTGAAAAAACGAAAATTCAAATCTATCTAAATGCCCCAACTAGTGGACCGAACATCGAAAAGAAGCCAGGAATCCGGGCTCAGAAATAGACTGACTAGACCCTTCTGAGCCAAATTAAGCGAACCTTATCCGGGAATATCTTGCGTACGATTTTTTTTCGAAAAAACTCAAATTCTAGACCATTTTCATTGCAAACAAGCCAGGAGGCTAACGAGTTCAGGAATACACCTGCTAGACCTTCTCAGTCAAATTATTCACACATTATGACCCATTTTGATGTTTATCTAAAGATATTTGTCTTTCCTATTCTTCATGCATCTATGCATCTGCATTTGAAGGAGATTTTGGATCGACAACCAACCATTGAGCCAAAAATATACTAATACGAAAATTCGATTTTTGGCTGCAAATCTCAAAAAGCGCTTCCTGTCCACGACTTTTCCGAATTTCGAGAAAAAGTCAAATCTCTTCTAAATCCCTCAAATTTTAAGCGAGTTTTAACGCAAAAAGCGAGAAATCCAACGACCTCAGAAATGAGCATGCTAGACTCTTCTGAGTCGAATTATCCAAACATTATGACCCATTTTAAGCGGTTTTGATCTCAACCTTACGATATCTATCTGCCCTATTCTAGACTCAGACATTCCATATGCATTTGGTGGCAATTTTCGATCGAAAATCATGTATAGAAGTAAAATACCCTCTCTCTTAAAAATACAAAAAAAATGATTTTAAACGCCAAATAGTAAAAAATCGCATTTGCACCCTTTTTTCCAAAGAAATCGTTTCCGTAAATGCTGCAAATTCCACATCATATCTCTCTAAAATCTATAAATCTTATAAATAGACCGTTTTGAGCCGAGTTAACCGATTTTGGTCTAACTGACGATATAATTTGCCCTATCTGGAAGAGCTTTTGCGTCCAAAACCATCCACCGAGTTAAAAAAACACTTCACATTTCCCCAAAAAACTACAGGTGCATGATTCTTCCAAAAACCTCATAATTTCGTAAGGAGGTACCTGACATTCCGTGGTTCTTTTTCACTGAAAAATGGAGCTGAATTCACACTAGACCTTTCTGAGTGCCCCCATAACAAAATTGTGACCTATTGAGCGGTTTTGATCTTTAAGTGACGACATATGTGTACGGCATTAACATTCTTCTTGAGTCGAACACAATCGAAGATTAATGAATTTATAAGAATTCGTCCTCCGATCTCATTAGAACCACTCTGGCAGGCCTTATTTTTCAAGCAACGCAGATATGAGGTGACGAGGTGACTCTAAGGTAGCATTTAAGCTAATTGCTTAATAATACACACACACACTCGTTTAGCGGTAGTGAAATGGTGGTAGGGTTTTCGGATCAGTGAAACTTGGTTTTCCATTAAAACGAGTTTGAATGTCGTTTTATTTGCGCCGGTCTCCCGGCCAGAAAACTAAAACGGATATATCAGATATGCATTCTCACCGGAAATGCTACCATATGCGTGCCAAACATGCAAAAGAGACCAGTCATTACTGTTCTGGTTACGCTGTTATAGTTTCATTTGATATTTCTACGTTCGGAAAAGCTGTCGCTTTGTCTTTCATTAATTAGTCTTCACTTTCCATTAGTTGAAATTTTTGTGTGTTGCATATAATTAGGATAAATGGTCGTTTATTTATTAGTAGTATGAGTAGGCAAAGTCGAAAATAACCGCAGCGAATGTAGCAAATTGCGGACTTTTCGCTTCAGCAATGATCGCTGATATGAATGACATGTAACTGAAGAGAACACTAGATAACAACAAAGTTGGCCGCAATGGAATGCAACACCCATGGGAAGCATTTCCAGTCACTTTTCAGGACTGAAATTCGATTCCCGGTTGATTAGGCATTGTTTCATAATTAGCCTTGGACTTCCACATATTAGATGTTGCGCCTTCAGTCCGGCTCGGTTGCACTTTATGCATCATATTGCGATCGTTCTTCTATTACGTCGCCTTTAATCATATTATGTAAATGCTTACGCCTCCTACGAATCGTAAAACAACATTGTTATTCAATGGGCGAATTAAGGTATATTCAACCAGGTTTTCGGCCAAACCACAGGTTAATCATCGGTGTTCTTGTTTGCGTCGTAGTATTTAGGTGTTCGTTCCGCTTAGCAGGTTCCTACCGTAGCTAAAAGCCTATTTTCGACAGTTTGTTGATCTTCAGTCACACAATAGTTATAACAATTCTTGTATCGAGCCCTTGCACTGAGCTCTCAAAGGAAAAATCAGCAGTAGCAGTTAGTCTTAGGAAAATTAATTTGTAACCCTCTCCGGTCTGTGGAAGTTTAGTTTAGTAAAGCAAGAAAACAATGTCGTGCCATCAAACCATGAAAGCAGTAAAAACGTGGTTTCAGAAACTTGTTAAGTTGGTGGAGAAGCCGGAAGCGGCCGAAAAATGTACGATCCAAGGTCTCACGATGATATAACAGCATGAACAGTAGTGCGCATTACACGTTGTGATTTTGATCTATTCAATCATAAAAAAAATTACGTGGCTCAGGAAATATCAATTCATGGTCACTGTATTCTGACTGCCACCAGTATGTAGAATCGACCGAAAAACCTTTCGGATTTTACTTCAACCTCCATCGCATGATTCGGAGTATGCAACCACAAGCGCTATTAGTTTTACAGAGGGATTTTGCGCGATTATTAGTTCAAATTTCAAAGCTCTTTTATCACGAGAACCTAGCGACTTTGCTCAGCTTATCAGTTTTGCACTGGTTCTTGGACGAATTGGCTCAAAAACGTTTATTTTCACACTGTTCCGGTCTCAGTATAGAAAGTCAACACGCATTTAGTTAAAGACATTTTTAATTCCAGTTTCTATTAAACGTTCACAAAGAAAATCTATCAGGACCATCAGTAAAAACCCCTTGATTTTCACTTGTGGGGATATTCGATGTCCACAAAACGCAAGTGGAAAACTAAAATGTTTTAGGATACCGGATAATCGATCGGTTTGAAGAAACAAGATACCGACCGGATATTTTAGCACGGGTACGAAATTCTATGCAAATGAGACTAAATTCTTGTCCTTTGCCTGCCAGAGGACATTTCGACCAATTTATTTCATTTTTGTCAGTCGATTTAATTCAACTGGAAAATGCTTTAAAACATTTTTCAACAATTTAGTTTAACCTTTTAGGTGTCATTGACAGCTCCAATTATGAATGCTCATTAAAATTAATCCTCAAACACTTCAAAGTTTGAATCAAAATAACTTGTTGCGCATTAATACGATTTTACGATAAGATAGCTTTTTTGCTTGCAATTGAACATTTTTTTTTATAAATCAGTGGGGCATCATTTTTTTACAAAATATTGAAGATCATGTCGGTACACTGGTAGACCAAAAAATATTTCATTCAGTAGAACCATGGCCACCAGAAATGTATAAATACCCGCGAAATTTCATTAAAACATATAACTTTTTTATGTTTTTAGCTGCTTATGAGAACTTTTGATATTGAAATATTGCCAGCAGCTTCGCCTCCTGAAGCTTGTACCTTTGAATCCCTCTGTATATGTATGCTTATGTGGTAAATTTACACAACACTGAGCTGTGACAATAAGTATCACAATGTCTCCGTTAAGTCAACAGTATTATCTAAATTGGAAAAATTTTCAACAACTATTTCCCAATTCCAGCTCGGAATAAACAATATCGAGGTTATGCGACAAGTTTCCACGGGGTCGGATTAATCCTCACATTGGGCGATCGTGTTTCTGTGTGTGTTTTTCATCAAATGTTATGAGTAAAGTGGCTAAAATCGGATAAAATTGGGGCTCAAAACACTAGCAGGAAATAAACGCATAATCTTGATTAGGAAACTACTACTTTAATACCATTTCAAAATAATCAAATATTGCCATTTGCTTCACATAAACAACCTTGTTTTCGGAATTTTAACTTACACGTTTGAGTACTTTTAATCCTGTTGAAATTTCACACTAGGTACTTGATGGTGATTAACGAATGTTCAAAAGTACCTGAGAATTAATTGAAAAATGCACCAACAAAATGAATTTGTTAATAAAAACCCTTTTCCGCTACATTTGTAGGTTTTTTCGTCAATTTTCAGCCATGAATATCACAATAAAGTACAAGTGAGTCAATAGAGTCTTAACCCATGCACTTTCTAGAAGTTCATAAATTTGTTCGTCATGTTTCAGCCCCCAAAAAAAATGTTTATTCAACTTGGCTTTGATTCGTCAATGATTTCGTTCATTCCACATAAATTATGCAATGTTTCCTTACCACATTTCAGCTGGAAAAACCTGTTGCGGTACATACCTGAAACAATAACACAATAAATTAATACACTTTTCCAATTAACCCCGGAATTAAATAATAATTGCCTCGTGTTACGGCCAGTCGTAAATTTCCCCCATATGGCTATAAATCACATTTAGGTTTATAATTAAACCAAGCAGTGTAAAATATTTGCTCGAAGAACTATGGGAAGGGAAATAAGGAGGAAGCTTGACTGTGACGAGGAAATCCTGATCATACACCGGGTGTTTAAGAAAAAAAGCTGCAATCGTCAACTTGAAAGGCCGACGAAATGACGAAGATTAAAAAAAAATCATTGTCAACAGTGTTTTTGAAAAATCTTCTGCTGAACAACCAGAAGAGAAACTGATCAAAATAATTTGAAGCTCCCGTAACTAAAACATAATTGTTTCGAAAAAATACATTTCGTAGAATCAAAATTATTTTCCATCTCCAAAACACTTCTGGTTTATATGAAAAAACGAGAAAATTTGCCATCGAATGAATGAACCTGATTGTGTAGACCATTACAATCGTGGCCAATCAACGACACTTCCACAGCCAATGCTAATTCGATTTTCGTGTATTCACGAAAACAAAATCGACTCAGGTGTGAACGTTCAATTAATTATTCATATTCACGGTTTTTAATTGGTGCCTCCTTTTTGGTTCACAATTGTGCGAAACGAATCAGCGCTTTCAAGGTCTCTAGAGCATTCATTAACCTTTAAAGGTCGCGTAAACATTTTGTTGATGTTCGCCAGCATTATCTTGTGTTGGACGTTTTTCGTGTTTTAGTGTACTGATTACAGTGGCGTGCCATCCTCCATCCTGCCCTATTTGCATAAACACTTTTTTCCGCCCAACAACAATCAAACATTTAGTTGCTTTTGCTGGTGTTTGTGTAAAAAAAACTGACAATATTTCCTCAGTCGCATTATGCACAACTTATGAGGATGTTGTTGGCAGACGCCACCGAAACGTTGAGGGCAAAAGAAATACTTTTTTGGTTTCTGAATAACAAAACCGAACTACTAGCAAAACGTGCCGTCCCTGAACGATGTGTTATTTAAAAGCATGGGCATTTCAGTGTGGATTATTATAAGGCATTTATATTTAGGTGGAACGAACCTTGTAATTTGGATGATTTATGGTGACTGGATTCGGCTACCTCACGTCAATTATATAACTATTTAAACCGGCTATAGTAACAACAGGATTTTAACAACGTTGCTAAATAATGGGATGTTTAATATGAACCCACATATTTCTCCCCATTTGCCCTGCGAGGATTCAGTTCGACTGTTTTGGGGTGGTAGGTAGTCGGAAATACAGTTAGATATCCGATAAATCACGCCCATCTGCCGCTTTGTCATAACCCCATAACAGGTAAAGAAAAAGCAAAAATAAAATTAACCTTCCACCAAAAAGGGATGTTAAGGACCGTCCTTGCTGTGCTTGTGTGTACAGGTGCGAGGGTAACAACCCTCCGCACTTTGACATGAGGGTTGTATTAAGCAAACGACACAAAAACTTTCATAGTACACACGCAGAATATCGTTTAGTGAATAGTTGATTGGTTTTTTGATAAAATCGGCCTGTTACTTTGAGGTTTGGATTAAAATCTAAAATAGAGAATCTTTTTAGTAAAAGGTTGATTTTATGAGTTATTGCGCTGCATCTATGCGTGTTATTTGTGTTGCGTCATGAGACGGCGAGGTGTTATAACGCATTGACGCAAAGAGCGGTATCAACACAAAAGCACCACATAACACAGTGTTACCCACGCCTACTGGCAACATCCCATTAATAGTAAGGAGCATTTCCAAACGGAATTTATCCAACTGTATCTTGATACAAAAATGCAAAAAAAATTGTATTAGGACTTCGTTCCTTTTGAGGCGCTTGAAAGTTAAAAACGTCGCTTTGAGGCGCTTGAAAGTCGTATCTTCGAAACGGCGCAAAATATCCAATCAGTTGACTATCTTTTAGGTAGCTTGTAGCAAGTAGTATCATTCACTAATTGGGCCTGTTTCGAAATTTCTAACCTCTAAAGAGATATAAGCAAAAATGTCAAACCTTGCAGCGCTTAGACCTTAAGTCTCTAAAACGGTTGAAAATATCTGAAAAGTAATAAAAAACATTTTGATTGAGCGTTTAGACAACAAATTTTTCCTCCTCAGGCTTCAAGCGCAATTCGTAACCTACAAATCGATAGAAGCATATTTGATAAACTATTTTCACGTATATTTCGCAAACGGTTGGAGACATCGGAGCAAACATTAGAGTCTTTTCGACAGCTCTTCTCAAGAGCTGTGCTTCACCAGTTGGGATTCATGAGAAACTCTTAACCTCAAAGGAGATAGAAGCCAAAATCTCAAACTTTAATGCACTTAGAACTGTAAAGCAGCGTAAATATTCAAAATAATTTAAAATATCTGATGTTATAAGACATGTTTGGAATGAGCGTTTCGACACCTACTTTTACCTCCTCAAGCGGTAGACTCAATTCATAACCTACAAAGAGATAGAAGCGTATTTGATAAACTATTTTCACGTATATTGCGCACACGGTTGAAAATATCCAAATAATCATTAGAGCTTTTTCGACAGCTTTTCTCACGAACTGTGTTTCACCCATTGGGATTCAACAGAAATCCTTAACCTCTAAAGAGGTAGAAGCGAAGCAAACATTTCTATATGTTCAATGAACGTTTCACAATGTTTTTCATTTACATCATCCGAAAAATGTGATTCACGACAGTAACCAGATTCAGTTTGACTGGCTGGCATCTACTTTTTTTCCACACGATTATCTTCTTCATCGGTCGAATGTAATAAAAAAAAGCGTTTATATGGGAAACGTTGAGCCCAAAGTATTAAAACGGGTTCTGAGACGGGCGTTGGTGGACAAGTACCTATCTTTACTCCGCCACATCATTTGTTCGTTAGTTGAAAAATCAATTTTTGAAGCGGCAAAATATGGGATTGTCTGGGTGAATAGTCTAGTTTTATTCGAGTGCTGGTTTACTTTAAATATGGGCTACATTTTCGAGGTCTTGAAAGCGAAAATGGGTAAATATTGATTCAACGTAACCCGGTACCCGCGATAAAAGTACCGTTGGTTCCAATCTTCCACTGTGAAACGAAATCTCCCTTCGTTCGAAAGCGCGCAGGTAGAAATTCTTTCAGGCAACCATCTATTCCGTTGGCAAAGAATGACTGAATGCATTGAATTGAAATCCGGAAAATGTGGGTCATTGTTTGTATAATATTATTTGATTTTATTAAAGTTTGTGATGCAACTAGGCTGATTTTTGTATATAAAACTTGCTGAAAAGCACATGTTTTCGATTGCGATAATCAGTACAAATTTCGCTTAAAGTGCCATTTAAATCGCGATAATTAGACGTGTAAATATTGTTTATAGCGGAATTAGTAGTAAAATATGTAATGCGGGCAATTAGCACATTTTGCTGAACGACGGATGGTTTAGGAATCGCTTTGGCGACAAACTCCCGTCGATTGTTGCAGCCTTTTCCGATAGCTGATTCAATTATAAACTAGAGAAGTACATCGTAATTATCGACAAAGCATAACAATTAAACTGCAAGTGGGTTGTAATAATACGTTCACGAAGTTGACCGCTGTGTCGGATACCGGATAGCAATGCATGCGCTGTGTAGTCGTTGATTAATTCGTTTACTCAGTGCACAACGTCACGAACTCATTTCATTGTTATAACTGAGTTATTAGTATTTGGTTGGTTAATTATTTTTGGAACAGTTTGCCATTACCTAACGAGCCAGCCTGCAGACTGCGCCATTTCCTAAGACGTCAAAAAATCGGTTCATTTGGTATTTCCTAGTGATCTATTAAGATTACAGCTGAAAAGTTCCTCAAGGAACAATACAGAAATACCGACAGAACAATACAGAAAAAAAACTATTGTGTGTAATTCCTTTTCCAACCATTTAAAGATTAAAATCAAACCAAACGCAGATATAGTTGAGTAATCAAACAAGCCCAAGGCGCTAATTAGCCTTCAAGGCTCCAAAGGGATATCAACCTTTAGACAGACATGTTTTTGGAATACCTGTTTACATTCGAAAATAAACGACGAATGTAAACGTGAGCGCACAGATAAGATAAATATGAAGGTTAAGAGGTTAGCGATGTGCTTTTTCTGATATGGCGTTGTCAAGGTTTGGGAATAAGTGCGCTTGTTGCAAGCCATTATTTCATCCTCTATATTTGGAATTTTCTATATTTTGCCCTGTAGGGAAACATTCAGTTTCAAGTCAGCAATCCAGATCCATTTCTCGCAAACGCTTGAATCAGCTAAAACTGGTTATTTTCGCATGAAGCCTTTGCAACTAGAAGGCGATTATGCATTCGGCAAACAAAAATTCGACGTACTTTAACAGACAGTGTATGTATTCATGTGTAGTCTGGCCGTATATTAAATGTTATTGTTATTTTATTCAAAATGGCACACACAGACACACCGAAATACCGCAATGAACTATTGTCAGCCGCAATTTGCAATCAAGCAACCACAAAAATAAGGTACTAGACAAATGGTTAAAATATTCATTAATGGCAATGTGCTGAAATCCGGAACTTTCACGAGCAACGACCTATTTAGAGGGCTCACAATTTTCCAGAAGGATTCTGAGATAAATTGGTGTTGGTTCTGGATTCAGCTGGATCGATTCTATGACAACTCTCCGGTTAGTGGGGCAGGTCGTGGACCATTCTCGCAAAACTGGGTCAAGTAAAATAGGTGAGTGATAAAGTACGTTTCGGTGTTTTTTTTTCGGCCAAATCGCAATCAGCCGCTTCTGGAAATGGCAAAGTGAAAGAATCGCGTTAAGATACTCTAATGCAACTAGAGCGGAGTTAAACAATTAGTGTTTCTTTCGATAAGTGTTAACCAATTTAGGTCGATCGGCAGTATTTTTCTTAGCGAAAACTAGGCCTAGAGAAAAGGTCTTCCTAACCGTTTTCTTGAACGATTT